TTGGATTCGCCTCCGGCCCACGCAGCCCGCGCTGATCAGCGCAAGCGGCGCTGGATTGGTTCACCGCCCCGTTGCGCGGCCCTGTTTCCGGGTCCGTAAAGCCTTTCAAATTCCAGCCTCGCGTAGAGGGGCCTCACCGGTAATCAGGCTTAAGAACATGCTGCAAGCTGCTATCAGAAGTGAAACTTTAAGCAAAGGCTTCTTTCTCGCCAAATTTCAAGAAGGAGTGGCGGGTGGGGAAAACTTTTGAACAAGCAAATCTAAAAAGCTTGCTACTGTACAGCGGAACATATCGCAAATATGGAAAGCTTGACGTGTACGGACAAAGAGGAGCCAAACGGTTTTCTTTTTTGAATGATTGTGTTTGGATCCCTCAAAAGCTCGGAAAGCAAGCTGTTAAAATCATTGTGCACTTTCGTTTTGAAAGTTGTCTTGCCTCGATGTACAGGGTTTTGAACTTCGCTTGCCGTGCCGCTTTAGGTTGGGTCAAGTTTTCCATTCAGGCTACTGCTATGCCTTGAATTTTAATTTTGCCCACTGCAAAGCTTTACCGGTGGTGCTTTTAACCTTTTTGAAAGTGTTTCCAGGCCCTTTGGTCTCATTGCTCACCACGCGTGGAGCTTTGTCTAACGTTTTATTGCAGTGGGGGGGAAATCGTTCGGTTGGTCGATCGTTCTGACTCGGCATTTCGTCGAAAAAACAACATGTCCGCTTTGTGCCACCTTTTCGGATTTTTTTTATATATGTCTCGCTGGGCACTATTTCTGCCCGCTTTTTGCGGAGTCATTTGGAAGACATCTTCCAAGTTTAACATATATTCATTTTATTTGTATATCTCGAATATGGGAAACTTGAATTTATACAGACTAAGAGGGGCCAAACTGCCAAGAACTCGTCGATTGCCTGCAAGGCGTGTGGGTGTGTAGTGTCGGGCATTGCTTGAGGCCAACCAAGCCTACTGCAATACTGTAGCCGTGCCCTGAATTGGCTGACACACTTCGGAAGGCCTGCGACGACTTGCTTGCGCTCTCGCTTCAGCTTGGGCAGATCAAGCTGCCTTCACAAAAGCACGCTTGCACTCTTGCAATCGTGTGCAAAACACTGCCGTGCTCGCTGGTGAAAGCCCGCGTTTGCGTTTCATGGATGCAGCAGTGCTCGAAGTATCTAACCAAAACGATGCGCTTTGCACATGCATTGCTACAGATTTGGAGCACGCGGTTCAGCACTTTGGCAAAATGTCGTCAGAAGACGGTTCCTTGTTGATTGAATACGTCGTGTGTGGGATGCGCACATCCCGCCAGAGGCCCTCCTTGCATTTTCAGCGCCACGTGCTTCAACTTCCAATCTCAAGCTCGAAACCGGGCAAGGCAATCCCGGAATGCTCCGATGCAGTCTCGGGGTGGCTCACAGACTCGAAAGAGGCGCAGTTTGCTCACATGTTGAGCTTCCTAAGCCCTACAAGTGCCTACAAGCTTTTTCCTTCCAACTTCCGTACAAAACACTTCTGAAGCCCCTTATGGAGTCCGTATACAACCCTGAGCCCTTCAAAACCCTTTTCACCGCTAGCAGTTGCTTGAGGTGCTTTTTGCCCTCCGTTAGTTCCTTGTTCAGGAAGGCTGGGCTTCGCCGATCTGTCTGTGCGTGTAGACTGGTGTAGAGCATTATTTTCCCTCGTTTTCGCGTGCATCAAATGGCCTAATTGGACGGGTGTTTTGCAGCTTTGCTTGCCCCAGCCATGTTGTGCATGTTGACCACCTGGCATCCATCACGGCGACTATTTTGCTGTGGCACTGCATTGGTTCAAACCAGCGTCATATGTCTTGACGCCCTGGGTCTGCAGCTCAATTCACAGGACCGAGACATTTTCCATACATGCCGAATTTGCTTTTGGTCGACGGCTTGAGGCCGACGGGCGATGGCCCCGCGCCCGTAGCGGTCATGACCTTTGCAGGGGCCTTAGTAGCGGCGTCTGCTCACAGTCCCATGCGTGACGTTGCATGCTGAGGGCAGCCAACCAAGCAGCCTTTGCGAGCCTTTGCATGACAGACGGCAGACTATCTCTCAAACTCACGAATTTGGATCTGACCGAGGATTTCGGTAGTGAACGGCAGGCCAGGCGCAAACACCAAATATCGCGTGAGTAGGACCGACGCGTCGTGGTGCCCCGATTCTGTACTCAGCCGCTTGCCAGAATGCCAAGAGTCTTGAGTTTCCATGGTGACACTCTCGGGAGGCACTCGTCCTGCGATTCCTTCTGGCCGTGGTCTGTGCAAGTGCCCGAGACACCAACTGACTGGGCAGGAATGATTTCCGGCAGTTTCAGCTGCTTGTCCGTGTCTTTGCCAGGTCCTCCCTTTGGCCAGCGGCAGCTCGAACCGAGCCCTGCGAAGCTTCTCGGATGCGACGTGTTCACAGCGTGGAAGATCGCCGCAGCCTGGTCTCTGTGTCACCTCAGGTCGCTCTCTCGGTGTAGCCGAGGCCTGGCAGTCCTGAGTTCCTGCCATCGTCTAGAAGTCAAAGACTTGCCAAGAGGCTTGGCATCTGCTACAATTTCAGCTTCCCTTGGGCTTACAGACCACGAAGAACACGCAGCTCATGCACTCATAAGAGGCTTCAGGTAGCGCGCAGACAAGCTAGCCAGTCCTGTCGGCCCCTAGCCCTAGAGCCACCGACAGAGCACCAGAAGCTTTGGATCTCCGTGCCCCATGGCCTCGGCTAGCCTGGAGGAAGCCAGGAGGCTTCCTGGGGCCCATAAAAACGGGGGGGGGGGGGCTTTTTTGTGAAACCAAGGAGTTCAGACCAAGGGCAGAGGGCGGCAGAGGCCGAGAGTCGCATCATCTGGCAACTTTTTGACAAGAATGGAAGCAGAAAGCTCAAGTCGGTCTCAGATATCCCCGTTTCACCAGGCTTGTTGACGAATCATCGCGGATCGTCGTGCTCACCGGGGCTGGGGTCAGCAGCTTTCTTGCAGCACATGCAGTACCTCTCGGCAGTGAACTTGCAAAACAGCATGGTTCCGCTTCAATTTGGCAAGTTTAGTACTCTTCCAGCGCGTTCTTGTGTTCATCTTAATTTAGAAATGTGCCCATGCGAAGGCACAGACTCGGGAATTCCAGATTTTCGAGGACCTGATGGGCTTTGGACAAAGAATCCAGGCGAGTTGATAGCCTTGTGGCACTCCAGTGCAGCGCAAGTACGTCATTTTTGCACTCAGTGTCCAGGTGCAGAGGAGGCGTCCGACATCTCCGTCTTTGTAAGCGATGAGGGTGCTCGAAAAGCGTTCTTTGCTCAGTCATTGGGAATTGAGACTTAATTTGTTCAGTTTCTGGCTTGAACCCTATTTCGTTCTGCCGGATCGGTTCGGGGGGTTGGCCACATGCTGACTTTCCGGACCAATCTGCGAGAAATGGTCACAAGCCTAGCGCGCTTACCGAAATTGAACCGCAGACTCTGCGTCCGTGGCCAGGTTCTGGCGCATGATGGTCTCCATGCGTTCCGATGGTCGCGTGCCGCAACCGAACGCTGGCCACCGTGCGCTGCTGCATCTTGAGGACACAGGACTCGTATTGTAGTAGGTGCTACCTGCAGGCAGACTGGTGTGGCGGGTTATTCTTCGTGGGGACCGGTGCTGCCTCAACATGCGGCAGAAGTGCGGCTTGACAGGAAAGAAGAAAGCTGCAGAAGCTGGTCACGCAGAAGCTCGGCGAGAAAGAGCTGGCCATTCAACAAATCAGAAGTAATAGCTCGCCTTTTTTTCACGAATCGGCCAGCGCCATGTGCAGCAGCCTGTCAAGGAACGTGGATGGGCTCCACCAAGCAGCAGGAACATCTGCAGAGTGCGTGGTGGAAGTGCATGGCAGCATGCAGGCACATCTAAGGGTGTTCTTCTGAGAGGTCGCGACAGCTGGTGTTTTGTGTTCTTTTGCCAGGAGAGCTGCTGTCTTTCCTGCGGCGAACAGCGCCCCATCGCTGAAGTGTGGAGGCCCAGGTGCGTCTTTGCAGAAAACATACGCCGCCTGTCAGGGACTGTGGAGGTCCAAATTGCTCCATGCCCAGGTTCTCGGTGAGGTGATGTCTGGCTTCGATGATCCGCGATGTTCTTGCGGAGGGCTACTGCTACCGGGACTGTCTCAGAGTCATCGCCAGCCCAGAATCCGTGGTGAAAGCAGATCATGTCGCTTTTTTGGAGTCTGGCTTACTAGCAAATTTGTTGTCTTGTGGCTTCGCAGCTTCTTGACTCTATTCCTGATTGTTGTTTGCACTGCTGCATGGTTTGACTACTTCTGCGATTGTTGTGCTTACCGACCTCAGTAGTGTCAGCAGCATCCTCCTCGTACTCGTCATCGTCATTCTTGTTGTTGCCGCTTCCTCATCTTTTGGTGCTTATGTTCCTGCTACCATTACCACTACCACCTCGTACTACCACCACCACGACGAATACTACTGCGCCGGCGATGACTATACTACTATGACTACGACGACTACGTACTACTTACGACTACCACTACCACCGCTTATGCAACTGCTGCGATTATCGGTTCAAGAATCCAACCTCGTCGTTTGCTCACGCCCAGGTGTCTGGGATCCGTAGATGTTAACATGTCCATGGTTTGCACTGCACCCACTGTGAAAGTACACATACCCCGCCAGCTGCATCCCCACAAACCTCAAAAGCATCAACCGTGCCAATTTTCTGGAAGCCTCCCATGTGCACTAATTTTCTGAATTCGTCAAGAGAAGGACACCCTGGCTGAAAATTCGCGAGTTTCGATGTCCATGAACCTGACCAAAACGCCAAAACACTCGTACGACCGAGGTGTTCCGCACACTCTTGCGACTAGCAGTGGGCAAACGATCCTCCCATGTCCCGTTCTAGTACTGGCGTAGTACTGCTACTGCTAGTATGCTGCTACTCTACTGCTGCACTGCTGCAATATTACACTACTGTCCTGCTACATTACTACACAACTACTACACTACTACACTACTACACGACAACGACTAATTTTAGTACTCCAGCTGCTACTGCTGTTGCGACTGCAATTTCTCCTCCTGCGGCTGCAAGTGCCATTCCTTAGGATTCCTACTACCATTCCCACGGCTACTGCTACGACGACGACGGCCACTACCGTTACTGCTACTGCTACTGCTACGACTACGAGTACGACTCGAAGAGCTTCAGCAAAGGAAGGCGAATGTGGTACTGTTTGGAGAAGCACTTCCGCCTCTTGCTCTGGCAATGCGGCTTTGCTGGCATTTGGAGTCCAGATCTTCCCTTGGTTTGTGTCTTGACATGTCGCCTTCACGAAGCTCTCGGTTTGGGGCGTTTCACCCTCTGGCTTTGAGCTTTGGGCTCCGATCTTCGGGCGAAGCTGCGCAGAACGAAGCTTTATGTGGTGGAACTGGTTTTCGTGAGCCCCGGGCCCTGCAAGTCCCCATGAATTGGGCCTGGCATCTCTGCGAAGGTCTGAGCCCGAAGACCCAAAAAACACCTCGACTCCGCCCAGGGCTTTTGAAGCTGCCCGCGACTGCGACCTTCTCATGTGCATCGGCAGCACCTTGTCGGTCTATCCCGCCTGGAGCTGAGGCTTGGTGAAGCTGCCGGATGTGTGTTGACAGCTAAAATACTGACGGGCTTTCCGTAGCTTCGGATTCTTTTGGACGCTTTCGATGTGTGGCCCGGACCGCTCGTCTGTTGCTACGTTCCAAGTGCAGGTTTCGGACTCGAATTGCCCGTGCCGTAGCCGTAGCTTGCATGAGCCGTACAACCAAATGACCGAGGTTGCTGCCATGGTTCCTGAAGCCAAAGAGTGCGGCGCCAAATTGCTGCGCCTTTGCCTGCAAATCTAAGTCCCAGGTCCTCTAGGTCCTCTAGGTCCCTAGGTCAGGCTGTGGAGGTTGCACGCATTCCAGGATCTTGAACCAGGGCCCGACGGAGTTTGACGAACTTGCCGACATACGTCTTTCAGGCCGGACGGTTTCGACGTGTTCTCGAGGCTTGCCTGCTTGAAGCTGGGAGGCTCGATCTCCAGCGTGCTCCCACAGATCTGCGGTTGCGACTCGAAGCTCTGATGACAAAAAGAGAGTTGGAAGAGTCTCACATCCTCAGGGACACGAGCCAGCTTCGGTTTGGGCGAGTTTCTATTCCTTGCTTCTGCCTCGATACGCCTCGACAGGCGGCGCTTAGCATCGACGCAGACCTTCAGAGAAACACCAGCAGCCCCTCAAGCTGGCTTCCTGGAGATGACGAGTGTGTGGCTACTTGTGTTGCCTTGTTGCACTCAGTTGCCTGCAAAGGCAACAGCAGTGTGGCAAGCGGCAACAGCTCGAGCGCACTTAGCTCTGCTGCCGCAAGTTCCAGCAATACTTCGAGCCGTGGGCTTATGTTTCGACGCGTTGCTGGGCCGTGGACGCATGGCAGCCTGCTAGGTCGATGTGCCCGGATTGCACCGAGGCCTGCAAGACGTGCTCAACAACGGCCTTGTGGAGGGGAGCTCAGAGCCCACTGCAGGGGCTTCTTCAGGGGTTCCTACGACTCGCTTAGAGCACCCTGCTTCTCTGCTTCTCGTTCCAGGGGGACACTTAGCATCATGGAACAACGATAGATCATGTTTCCAACGGAGCTGCAACACGGCAAGATCGTTCAGCTAGCCTGACAGGGCTCGTAGTGCACGACACCAGCAGCTCTTCAGTTGAAGAAGTATTGGTTGGTGCCTGAGTAGTTGCGAAATTGGCGACTGCAAGCATCATACCCGCACCTCACTCAAAACTAGGTTAATACCCGCATTTGGGAGGGTATATGACCACTGGCTGCGACTTCCAGGGACTTTGCTCCTCATACTAGTAGCATTCCCGACTCCTTTCTTGCTGCGAAGGAGTCTCCATTGCAGAGCCCCCAAACCTAGAGCCGCCCCTTCAGCAGATTGAAATTAGCAAGGGTGTCCCTGCAGTCCCATCTAATTGACAGAAGTCGTGTCGGGGAGTCATCGTAGAGCCTTATGAACCAACCTTTGGGAAAGTCTGATGTCGCAGAAGTCGGCCGCAAACACGAACCGAGGATGGCAAAATCAGCACACTGTACTGGGCGGAGATTGACAGGACCATTGCAGCCGCAGGTGCCCGCTTGCAGGTTTGCCGGTAAGGGGGTGCACTTCCGAAGCGAAGTCAACGACTTGTGCCAAGCATGGCTTGCCTTCCCTGTTCGGGCAAGAACGACAGCAAGACTCAACTCAATGCCAAAAGCGAGGCCTCGTCACGCCTCAGCCACCGTCGCTGAACGATCTTGGCCCGACTCCTACGCCGGACCCGCCGGGGCCTCGATTGCTCGTAGCGTCCAGGTTTCGAGGCTGACAACATGTCACCAACTAGGAATTGCTAAGTAGGTATATCATGGTTTTGCTCGGCTAGTTCAGGTACACCTCCATCTTGGGTGTCCAGAAGACTGCCTCAAGCGCGGTCCAGAGCTAAGAAAGGGGCGCGTCTTGGGCAGTCCACAGGTCGTTCGCACCATGAACACGAGGTCAAACCCAAACTTGAGACTTTTGCTGTGCGAGAGCTTCCGAGTCTGTGCCGATCAGTTGTGCTGTTCAGACAAACATGTTGCTCATGACAATCATAGCATCAGCCATCAACCTAAATCATGTATCCTCAATGAGGATGATGCCACAGCCACATTGGCAAACTACGAGCTTGTCACCCCGCGTGAATCTCAGATCTATGCGGGTTCAGTTTTTTTGGCCGCATTGTTTGAACCCTCGTGTTGAGTCACAGAAAGGCCGTACTCCCCCCTCAGCCCACCTCAGCCCTTGGGATTGAAATTCGGGCTGCCGTTGCTACCGTGGGAGGCCACCGCCTATCCCGCCTCACGCGCCGAGTGTGCCGAAGGCACCCAGCACGAAAGCCAATGTGCTCTTGAACCCCAGAATCCGCCCATATTCAAAGGTAAGCAGAAGGATTGGAGAAGGGGTTCTGAGCAGGGCCGAGCTTCCGGACAGCTTCAAGTTTAAGCAGCACCTCACCCACCGCTCCTCCTTTTCTCACAATGACAGCGCTTCCGTAGGCGCAGGCTCAAACTTGATTCTGCCCTGCCCCAGCAGGTGAGCGTCTTGCCCTACCAGATGACTCTGGGCGCAGAGGTTCTGCCACTCGCTTTAAATAGCCGTCGTGAAGAGTGCATCTTCTCGGCACGACACATGGGAGGGCCCTCCCGAATCAGTCTAGATTTGCACCAAATGGTACGCATAGAATCCATCTGAGGTTGAAAGCCCACTCCAAGGTAAAGACCGGTGAACAGGATCGAAAGACAGAGGTAAACAAAAGGCAAGAGAAAGGAGAGCAAACACTTACAAAAAGCAGAACGGTGCACTTTCTGGACAAAGCACAGGTATTGTGGATGCCTGCGCTTCCCTTCCTCGCCTCTTTTCTTGGCTTTTGCCTGTTAAATTCTTCTTCACCTCTATGTCTAACCCTTCTTCGTGGTCCCTCTGCCGCCTGTTGCCTTTGCTTGATCTTTCTGTTACATATGCTACGATTGACCTCCTAACACTATGCAAGTTGTCTTGAGGATTCATTTCCCTGCCAGTGCACGTAGATTCGTTCCGCTGCCCGTAGTCTCTCAGGCGCGGAATGTCTGAGAAGGTCACGCCAGAGCCCTTGCCTGCGCAGGCCGTCCAAGTGGCAAACCATTTTTTGCATCGGCACAGATAGGTTAGGCACAATCACGGGTGCTGTCTGGAGGAGTTGGTGGATGCATCTTTTGCAGCACAGTGTGGGACTTAAAACCAGCGGGTACAGGCAGAGTGGTGCAGCTATTTTGAGTGTCATGGACATTGTACTTTGCGACTTGTCGAAGCCGACGGACAAGTGCAGTCTTTGAAGCGGCACCTGGGTAAACCAAGCAAGATTGCCAACTTAGGTGTCCGATGGTCATGCTTTCCAACGACGTGTTTGTCACGTCCAGTCCTCAATCTTGCAGTGCTTGTGGATTTGTGGGGCATAGACGGATCACGAGTTTTGCATTCTGGGGCAAGGCCTCCCTGTGATCATGGAGACGGATTTGGAACATGGTCAGATCCGGCCAACACCAGGAACATCCTGAGGCCAGTTCCGCTTCGTGCTTCAATTGCTGACTGATTACCTGAAGTGTTGCAGCTTTGCAGAAGACGTCTGTGTTTCGTGGCGCCTGGCAGCTTCCAGTGTAGAGCAAGGATTGTGCCCAGGCGCGATACTTCAATAGGCTTTCCCTCTCCCTTTCCTGGCCATGGCAAACGAGTCTCCCATCCGCTTCGCCTTCGCCTTTGGCATGGCCTCCGGGCACATCAACCCTTCCCTGCCGATTGCTCGGGCTCTGGTCAAGCTGGGGCACGAGGCCGGAAGAGGGCTCGAGGCTGCCCCTTTTCTCGTCGTTTATCCCCCCCCCCCTCCCCCCCCCCTCGCATGTTGAGGTGCACTACCTCTCCCGAGAGCAGATGCGGGCACCCATCGAGGACACCGGGGCGCACTTCACCAACGAGCTGGAAGAGTGCCCGGAGCTCTACGAAGGCTCGGATCAGGGACGTAAGGTCTGCAATGATAAGTGTTCTTCCGCACCTTTTCAGCGAGGCCGGAAGGAAGACCTCTTCGGTGCCACGGAAGCCCTGAAGCTGGAGCATGGCCTGGAGGAGGATCCCATGATGCTCTCCTGGGTCAAATTGGCCCCGATCTCCCTGGAGCTGGGGCTCCCAGGGGTTCTGCGCTGGATGCAACGGCTGCAGCCGCAAGTCCTGGTCTTCTGTCCTATGCTCAACAGGGATGCCTTCTTCGCCGCCAAGATTCTGGGCATTCCCCGCGTCCCACTTCTGACCACGGCCGGCCCAGGCAGCATGGTCTCCGTGATAAATCAGTTCCTGTCCTGGTCAGGGCTGTCGATGCCAGAGATCATCGAACGTGCTCGGAAATTCCCCGCCTCTGCCGAAGCCATCCGACGTCTTGCGGACATGGGCGTTAACTACGAGGCCGAGTTGGAGCTGAGTGCCAAGAGCCCCGGCGCAATCGGCTGCATGGTGCACAGCCCAATAACCGTCGTGACCACCTGTGAAGACATGCAAGATCCGGTGCCGCCCGAACTGGAAGCAGTCTATTCCTCGCAAGGCGCGAAGTTTGTCTATGTCGGACCGCTCCTGGACCAGCAGGGTGCCCGGCGGGCCGCCGGCCACAAGTTCGCGCAGTTCGCGCACTCCGACTCCGAGAAGGCAGGAGATTCGCCAAAAGATGTTTTGGAGGAGCTGCGTGATGCCCGGGATGCGGGCCGATTGATTGTGCTGGCCAGCATGGGGACGGTGATCACCGGAGACAGTCCCGACTTCGGCTGGGCTGTCAAGCCCGTGGAGTCACAGAGACAGGGACTCACAGGCAAGCAGTTGTGCCAGGCGGCCTGGAGTGGTGTCTTCGATGCTTTCGGTGCCAAAGAAGGAGACCTTCTGGAGAAGACCCCGTTGATCTTGGTGTCAGTGGGCCCACAGAAAGATGCCCTGGACAGCGTGAAGGTGCCTCCGAATGCCATCTGCAAGCCGGTCTTGCCACAGGTGGACCTTCTCAGAGCTGGCGTGGACATCTTCTTGACGCATGCGGCTTGACTGTTCTGGATGTGATAGTTTTTTTTTTGGGGGGGGCGTTTTCTCTTTTAAGAAGGCCTTGGGCCTGGGCCTTGTTGACGCGATCCGCCGAGGGGGGTCAGAACAGTTTCATGGAGTCCCTCGCGGCGGGAGTCCCGGTCGTGGTATGTCCCGGCTTCGCAGACCAGCCTGCAAACGCCCAGAAGGCCGCGGAGCTCCAAGTGGGGCTGCAGGTGACCCGGCCTGTCCCCGCCGAGGGCGAGGCTGGGAAGATGCTTTTCATGAAGGGTGGAGGGCTTTTTTGGGATTTCCCTGCTCCAGGAGGATGCTGCCACAGCTTCTTACACCACGTCCGTAGCGGAGGCCTTGCGCCGGGTACAGCAGGAGCCGGTCTTCCGCACAGCAGCCGCCGAGTGTGGCCGAAAGATCACCGAGGCGGGGGGCGTCCAGAGGACCGTGGACATCCTCCTCCAGACTGGAAGGGAGAGGCCGCTGCCGACCCTCCTCGCGAACACAGCCCCCACGAGCCACACCGTCAAGGAGTGCAGGGTACAGGCCTGATCAAAGTTCAAACGTTGAGGGAAAGCAATTTTCTGCACAGAACTTTTCGCGTGCCGAGAGGGCATGCTGCTTCACACATGCTGGAGCGTGAATTTGGCAAAGTCCCGATGGATCGACCAGCCGGCTTTGGCCAGCGGTCCTCACAGCTCGACTTCAGTACAGTGGCAGGCTTTCCTGCCAACATGCACGGAGCAGAAGATGCGCCCACTGCCGTTCGAGCAGCTTTGTTTCGCTCTGTTGTGTAGAGTTCCCACTGGGTGTCCCTCTCATGGGCTTGGTTCAGGTGGAAGCCCAATGACCGCGGAGGTGTCGACTACAACGTGGACTCAGTTGCTCGGCAGCACATAAATCAACATGAGCCGGCAAACGTTTGGGCATCACTTCAAGGCTCTAGCAAAGTCTAGTGTAGCCTCAGTTCCATGTTAATGATGGGCCGAAGCGTGTCACCGAAGAGGCCATCACCAAACGGATAAAAGCGCACCAGGCTGTGACAGGGCCCGGCAGCGTGAACTTTGCTGTGCAGCCCTGAGCTCGCGATGTGAGCTTGCTTTCGTGCTTGGGAAGACGGAAAGCTGGTAGACGGTGACGGAGAAGTTCACCTTGAACTCGAACACCTTCGCCTTGTCTGGAACCCGGGAGCCGGCAAGGACGTAAAGAGCATGTGGTGATGTTCGGGGATTCCCCAAAAAGAGGTACAACTGCATGAACGTCATGCGCTACACCATCGAGGCCGGCGCAAAAAGGGCCTCTCTGCCCCTTTCGCTCCTTTCAGGCCCTTTTTTGCCGGTCAGGAGACCATCGTGAAGGTGGCGCACATGGCTCCGGCGGCCCAGTCGACGGCCTCGGACCACGACCTGGGCGAGGCCATCGGGGCTTTTTGGCGAAGAGTAGCGGCTTTGGGGGCAGCGCGCCCTCTCCCTTGTCAGACGGCTCCGGCGGTCTTCTACCAGTACCTCATCAAGCCACTTGGCAAGAGTTGCAGGGCTCGGGCTCTGTAGATCTCTGGGAGGGTCCGGGGCCAAGAATGCCTTCTGCTTCTCAGGCATGCGAACGGTTCCCTGATGGCGCAGACCTCTCAGTACCGTTTGCCGGAAACAGACGTCTGCGACCCAGCGACCAGTTCGCGAGCAGAATCTTCTTGCATCTTGTTCCGGGGGTGCTTCGAGATCAACTTCACGTCCTTCATTCCCGGCAGCTTGCAGACAGATGTCTTTGCGGTGTGCGACTCAGCTTTGGTTGTCGATGGAACCTGCGTTCTTTGGCATGCCGCTGGGCTATGCATGGAGGAGAGAGGATGAGCGAGAGTAGAAAGCCAATCTCACGGAGCGAATAGCATGCCTCTTCCCAACAGCTTCACGCCACCACTGCCCAGCAGGAAAACCCCGACAACCAGCCAGCCTTCCAAGGTCTGCATGCCGTTACGTTGCAAGCCAAGAAGCTAAGCCCGACAACCCTTTGGCATTCGACTCGGAGGATAGGAGGAGAGAGAGAGAGAGAGAGAGACTGCTCACACCGAGTGGCCAACACTGTGCGTTTGACACAGCAACGGGGCGGGGGTATGTGCAAGGCAGTGTAAGGGTGAGGGGCATGACAAACGAATGAAGCCTGACGAGACAGCGAACCGCAGAGACCGATAGAGAGCGACAAAGACAGACAGTCTCAAACCATCAGCCGGTGCTCAGATGGCGAAGCGCCAGGGGCGCTGGGAGGGCACCGGATGGCGCGATTGCCGCACTCCTCAGAAGGTCCTTGGGCACTGTTCAGTTCTTTTACATGGAGGCTTGATCATGGGCTTCAAGAGGAGTGATCAGAGTACATCTTGCATTGAAAAAAAGCTCATGTATGTCTGCCAGGGTTGGAACATTTCCTTCCCTGAGAAGAAGGGGGACAATTTGGTTGCCATCGCCACAGTGCAGGACAGCTGCGCTTAAGTAGAAGGCAAACGCACAGAACTGTCGGCCCTTTTTGTGGGAGCTCTTGCATGCAGAAGCAAGAAGCTGGTTCTATGATGCATGATGCTGTGGAACACGCGCAACCCGCCAGGATTTGCAAGTAGCTGCCTTGGCAGTCGTGCCGTGCTAAGCGAAGCAACGTAGAACAGCTGAGCAGTGGGGTGTTTTTTTTTTGGCGATCTTCACAGATTTTGTACTGCCAGCCCTGCCTGCTGCCCAGTTGACCTTGCTCGCATGGCGGGAAGAGACCGTCGGCTCAGACGGATTTGAGCACGCAGGCAAGGAGTAATGTACTGCATCCCTTCACAGAAACGCTCTTAGACGGCTTGCTTCAGTAGATACTAGTACTAGTAGTCGTAGGAGAATGGCTGTCAGGTTTTCCAAAGACACATCGCTGTAGCTGGATAAGAATGACAGTGGCGAATCAACAGAAAAAAGCGGCAGAATATAACAGCAATACTAAGAATCTCACAATTAATTGCTGTCACCACCACCACCGTTGCTGCCTACTGCTGCTGAGGGTGTCCCGACTATAGCCAAAGCTCAAGAAGGTAGCAATGGCCACCGAACTTGATGCATATAATCAGCCTGGGACTAAGACTTCAGTCTCATTGCGCCCTGAAGCCTGAACCTTAAGGGTTTACGACTTCAGGCGAACGTTGGATCTACAGGACTGTGGGTTGAGGGGTGCCTTCTCGCCCTCAAAATACAATTCAGCCCCGAAGGTTAGGCCCTAATTTAATGAATAAACCTGTCATGTCGACTTTGTCTCTTGTGTGTGACACGTGCGGTTGCGATTGGCATGCTTGGCATGGCATGTTGGTCATTGGCATGAGCTTGCTTGACTTGCTATGTGTCCCTACCCACGCAGAACATGCGGCTCCTGCCGCTACTACTGCTGCTGCTACTACCACTCCTGCTGCTACTGCTCTACTACGACGACGACTACTGCTACTAAGGCGACGACCACTACCGCTACTACTGCTACTGCTACTGTTACTGCGACTACGACAACGACTGCGACTGCGACTAAGACTACTGGTGCTACGACGCTGCTGCTGCTGCAGCTGCTGCTGCTGCAGCTGTGGCTGCTGCTGCTGCTGCTGCTGCTGCTGCTGCGGCTACCACACCTACCACACCACTACCACAACCACTACGGCGGGGGCACCGACGACCTCTGCTATTACGACTTCTACTGCGATTTGGACAAAAAGAGTTCTGCGAAGAAGCATGCAGCGCTAATGCTACCCACTGACAAGATCATCAACGTTTTTCCCTTACTATTTCCACTGTTCTTGTTGTTGCTCCTTCTTGTTCCTAGGTTCGAGCAATGGTCCAAGTGGTAGTGTTGTCGTATCTGCTACTGTTAACACCATATGGCATCAACGTTCATGAGCAATACCCATGCGAGAATGGTTACAACGGTTACAGCTAGTATCTGTTCCATGCGCGACAAATGTAAACATCGATTTCGAAACATACTCATAGCACGAAGTTGTGCAAGAGTAAGCGCATCCGCATGGAAAGAAGCATCATGGTCCCAGTAGTATGGGATCAAAAGCTTTGGTGTCACGGCCCGGAACGACCACAATGCAAGCATTGATGGTCGTCTCCAACAGACCTGCCAGGCCAGTTCTCCATGTACTGGTCGCTGGTGAGCCCTTAGCATTGCTCCGTGGGTTTGCTGCTAGCTTTGAAGCTTTCTCATGCCTTCAGCCCCTGGGGATGTCTGCCGGATATGGGAAGCACGGCCAGATGACATGTTCATGTGACGCTGCGCCATCCCGGGCACCTTGGCTCGCAGCTAGTGCTCCGTGCAATCCATGCCTGGAGCGAATTTTGAGGACGGGGGTTCTCCAGCAAATGCCTGAGCAGTCCAATGTTCGGAGGCCTCTGAAACGTCAGCCAGCCGGATCATTTCAGGAGACGCAAAAGGAGCCGCCGCGCCCTTTTATGCTCCCCAGGCACCTCTTGTTGGCCCGCCACAGGACCGGCATGGTGTTTGGAAAGGTTTCATTCAGTCAGTCTGCAGTATGTCTGGGACTACAGGCTTGCCGTAGCTCATCAAGGGTCCTGATTTGGCACATTGTTATCTGTCTTTCAATGCTCGGGAGTGCTGGTTGAAGACATGCGATTCCTCCCAGGACCACGGCATCTCTTTAGACCTGCCACTGAGCTGACATCGTTGGGCGGGCGGCTACAATCTTGAGTTTGAGGTATATGAATGTCATACATCAGTGATCCGAGTTGTCTAATTCCCTCTGCATCATATCAGTCCTGCGCAAGGAATCTGCATGCCTCCGAAGGCATCTCAGTAAGCGCAAGGACTGCCAGGCATGAAATTCCTCGTGAGTGGAACATGGAGACAAGTAGAGGCAAGAGAGAGGTACCGATCTTGCCGCGCTGTCTGGAGATGAAGCTTGAGCTATCGTGAATTGCTTTGCAGGATCCTGGTCTGAACTGTCGCAACCATGGCGATGTGCAACATCCCGTCCACGAACACCGACCCTCAGTACCGCTCGGCTGGCATGTTTCACCGTGCTTTGAACTGGCCCTTTGTTTGTGCAGAGCCCATCAGAATATTTCCCTCTGGACAGTATATTTTTGACACTGCCTACTCCTTGTCTCTCTCTCCCTCTCCCTCCCTTTTTCTGTCGCCCTCTCTCAGAGAGCCTTCCACCCCCGAAGTCACAATTGGCCAGGCTACAAGATGCCACGGCTGATGGCAAAGGTCGAGGGTCGTGGAAATGGCCGAGCGGCTGCAGTTCTGATTCCTCCAGGTTTTACCCCGGGATCCCAGGAGTCACAGTATGTCACAGTTACAGGACGGTGGGCTTCAGCTTCAAAGTCACGCACGTTCGAGATCTGCCGGAATTTTCCTGAGCCTAGGTATCAAGACCTGCATTGTGAACATGGGAGAGGCTTGGCGGGCATAGGCAAAGAGACCTGGGACTCTGTGATCTGAACCATGAAGAATAGATTCCTTAGATGTTGGGACTGCGTAAACGTCAGGGCATGTAGCCGCGCTCGCTCCCAGCAAACAGGTTGCCCGCGCAATCAAGCGACCGCCGCCGCAAAGCTGCAAAGTCATGCGACTATGTCGATTTGTAAGCGTGCCGTGCTTCGTCAAGCCCGTCTTCGGCGATCCAGGCAGTACGTGACAAAGTTCTTTGGCAACGCATGGGCCCCTGAGACAATGTGTGCACCAAGTGCACCAGTACAGGCAGGCTGCAAGGGATCCGCGAGAAGCGTGTTGCATGCCGCAAGGACTTGGGTGCTCAATCGACCTACACGAACAAGGCTCCTGTTGCGAGATGTATGTAGATTTTTCGGGCCCCTAAACCCTAAACCCTTATAGAGTCCTCACATCGTTCTGTGCCAGGAAGGAGAGGGGGAGCGATCCATCGTTCGTGGGGCGCATCAGGTGGAGGCCGGGGTCCATGCTTGGGGCTGCCTTTCATCCTATCTACGGGTCCGAGTCTCTTGAAGCTTCCATTCTTCTGACCCTTGCACCTGAGAATTTTGGGCTCCAGAGTTCCCGGAAAGCATGTCTCGACTATGTGTGGACGTTTACATGGGCAGCGGCCGAGCGCTGCAGATCTCGCTGGGAGTTTCCGCGACAGTTCGAGACGTGCAGCACGGCATCATTTGCTCAAGCCTTTTTTTCTTCGCTGCAGTTGTGTAGTCTCTGTTGTGTTCAGGCTGGCCTGAACCCTGAATCGCAAATTAGGAAGGACAGCATTTCGGAGATACTGCACGTACGGCCACATCACCAAAGACTGATCCTTTCCGATGTCAGGAGTGCCAAGAGACTATTCGATTCCCAACGCGTCCTACAACTGTCGTCAAAAGACCCCTTCGGGACTCTCGAGTTGTTGCTGGTGTTAAATGCCGAGCTGTGAGCTCAAGACGAGAGCCGGGATTCTCTGCACCGAGATCAGCGAGATGTCCACGGAGGAAGAAATCCACGAAGCTTCCAAGCCTGCGAAGTTGAGATGCCAGCCGTCGGGCTGTCAGAATGTTACCTTAGCTTAGCGTCCAAACAAGCAGCTTGCAACGCTTGCAACGTGGATGTCGGAGCAGCCAGGAGGCTGTGGGCTGTGAGCCAATCGAATTCGAGAACAGGAGTCCAAATTTTGAAAGCCCATCCGAAGGTTGCTACTTATATATATATATATATGTATATGTATAGAAATACATATGTGTATATATAAATATAAGTAAGTAAATAAGTAAACATATACACACACATATATATATGTTTACTAGCGTGTGCTCAGTCAATCAACTTGTTGCAGTCGTCAGTCACTATTATAGCGTTCGCAGTACTGGACCTCCGAATTAGCTTAAAGACTTAATGTGTTGTATGCGTGTGAAGGAGCCTCCATGCGAGCGAGACGTGTGCTGTGCGCACACTCACTCGTTTGCTGCAACCGTCGGAATGGGCGGCAAATCAGGGGCACAGTTCCAACGTACAGTCTTGCTAAGAGGTCTTGTTAGAATTAACCTGTTCGGAAAGAAATCTGAAGCGGACCCTGATGTGGAACATGCCGAGGAGTTGCGCTGCTTGCAGCGGAGTCTCCATTGCAGGCTACTGCTTCCTCCCTCGTAGTTACGTAGTTGCTGTCGCTGTCGTAGTTTCCAATCTTACGCGGATCAGCTCGGATTCCAGGTGCTGCTTCGATGGATTCTTCAGGTTCAGAAGCCAGTCACCAGGAAACCTGGCGAAAAGCTTTTATGTTGAGACGACGAGGCAATTTAGCTGGCTTCCTTGGGTCATGCGATGTCTGCGTTTTGCACACACAGCAAGTGACACTCAGTGGATTCTCCGCTGCATGTCACAAACCCATACAGCCGTGATGTGTTGTCCGTGCCGTCCTCTCGTTTCACTTCGCCATCCCGACCTCTCGCTATGAGGCTTGCCCAGCGGGTTAAAGTCTCACGATGCAGCAGCAATCCTTCTCGCAGATTCGAATTCATAGGTCAGAAGAGCAGTACATGGGAGGCTTTCTTGGAGCAGTCAGCCTCCAAACCGAGCATCGTTGATCATTAAAGTGGAAGCGGTTGGCCGCGCTCTGACACAGGACTTGCGGACTTCACTGGATAAGTTCATCGAGAAGTACGTCTGCTGTGAGAACTGCTGCTCGGCGCGAGTGAAATGCCTTCTTTCAGTTCCTGAGGAGCCTTAGAAGGAGCAGCCTGAGTAGTCGACGTGGCTTCGAAGAGCAATGATGTTGCGGGTCTAGTCGCACAAGTGGTCTTCTTTCATGATCCTGCCATGTTCACCTAATTCAGGAGGTTCCTTGCTTGGTAAAAGGAGGCGATCTTTAGGCTTAATTTTTCTAGTGGAGGTGTTTGGTCCCACATTCCAAGGCCATCTTCCCGAGATTGATATGTTCATCAAGAAGGGCATCATCCAGGAGAGCCTCCTCCGCCAGCATCAGAGTGATGACATTATATATATATATATGTATATATATTATTTAATGTATAATGTAATATATATATATACATAATATACTATATATTGTATACCACTCTTGAAGTCTTGTCGGGGGGAAGTACTGGACAGCCTTTAGATGCTGGTTGAACTCGGGCAACGTCGAACGTCCAGCGGTTCTCTGCGTGCTTGTCGTCGATGTTGAGGGCAGCTTCACAGCTGTAGCCGGAACACACAGCTGTAGCCGGAACACACCTCTGCATGACTGATTGATGCGGTGTTGTTGACAACAGCGCTTCAGGGACAGGCATGGGGTGTGGTCGTGAGCGGTTTATCAGAGATGGTTTCGCGGCTGAAGTTGCCAGCCCCCGCAGGGTCGATGCAACGCCTGTGGCTGGCAGGGTGAACTTGACAATGTGGACAAGCCGCTCGGCAGTGCAGTTCCTTCTGGACGAAGTTGTAGAGTATTGCGTGAGGAGCTGTTGAAAGCAAGGCTTTCCGAGCCGGCAGACTGTAAAGTCAAAGTCTCACGTTGCTCTGTCTGGCAAGTTCATCACAAGGCTTGCAGCTTTTATCCTCAAGAATCCGTCAGGTTCTCAGTGGTCTCTGCCAGTTCGGCACTTCCATGCAAAAGTGTTGTGCAGCTAGACCTGAAGTGCTGGTGCTTGCTAAGTCCTGACGACTCTGGCATGGGCTTGAGCACCATGGAAGCCAACGTCAAGCGCACAAAGAAGCCCAAGGGTGGCGCCAAGGACATTACAGTCAGAGCATGTGCTCCCACGAGCTGCACGGCACATCTACTTTAGCGCTCCGAACAGAGATGGTCCTTGCCTGACAGAACTGCCAAGGGCCTAAGAGCAAGTCCCAGTCGGCAAAACTGTGGTAATCATGACGTTGGTAGCAGAACCCGGAAAGCTGCAGGACAAGAATGCTGACGACGACGATGAGGCACAGGTTTAAGTGCCAAGATCGGATGCGAGAGGGTGCTCATCTGGCGGCGGTTTCTGTGCATGTGCATCAAGGATGATGACGACTCTTCCAGCGCTAAGGCCCTACAGCCTTCAGAGTATCGCTGCAAAGCCCTTCTTGCGGGTTGAACGGCAGCGAGTTTTGACAAAAAGCCCAGCAGGAGAAGAAGGAAAAGAAGGAGAAAAAAGAGAAGAAAGAGAAGAAGGACTGTGCCGTCTGCATGCTTCTCTTGTGTCTTGAAGGACGATTTCGGTGTAGCAGGCAAGTTGCTCCCCTACAGCAGTTGAATTGAAACAGCTGCGAGCATACTTGCACCGGGACCGCCTTTGCATGCAGGAGAAAAAGAAGAAGGAAGCCGACGACAGCGACGAAGATGATGAGAAGGAGAAAAAGGTGCATCGCACAACGGAATCATGCTAGGCCAAGCTGATGTCACCCAGACTGGCCGCTCGGGTTCTGAGGAAAAGAAGGAGAAAAAGGAGAAGAAGGAAAAAAAGGAGAAGAAGGAGAAAGACAAGGACAAGGAGAAAAAAGACAAGAAGGCCAGGATCATTCAGGTGTGATGAAGCGGGGCTACCTCGCCGCCTGAATGCCGTCCAGGGTTGGCTTAGCTCGCGATGTTAGACTTTCATCGAGGCTTCGGGTTGGGAGTCGTTTGCCAGGATAAGAAAGAGAAGAAAGAGAAAAAGGACAAAAAGGTGCGGATGTGCGGTTATGCGGACGCTGAGAAACAGTTCTCCAGAAGTTATGTCCCGAAACCTGTGCAGGAGAAGAAGGACAAGGACACCCGAATGATGCAGTTTGTACTCATACTTCTCAAACACACCACCTAGCACGGTTCTTCAAGGTTGTGGTTCCACCAGCTTTTTCCTACTCTTTCTTCTCTTTCGCAGTCCGAGCTCTTCCGCTAGCTGTCAGGAGGCTCCGGAGGACGACGAAGACTCCGACAAGGACGTCCAGAATCTCACGCCTTGGCCGCAGACTGTTCTCTTCAAGTGCTCCCGTGAACCGGACTAAGCTGCAGGCATGACGACGAGCAGACCAAGTCTGTGATCGTCGTTCTGAAGGAGTTCGTGGACAGCAAAGGCTGGCCAGGTTCTTGTTCGTTCTGCAAGTTGTGAATGGGACGAGACGTTGCATTGTCTCGCGAGGTGGCAAGCCCAGCAAGGCCGACTTTTTCGAAGAGCTGCGCATGCAGTCTCCTGGCGACATGACCATGAGTTCCGAAGCAAGTTCGTGACAGTAAGTGCACCAATTACAGGCCTTTTTTTGCAGTGCTTCGGGCTGTGCAAATTTCTCCCGCAGTCTGATCGGTTCTGGGACCCAGGCAATTGGCAAAGGTGTTTGACAACAAGGTGCCCATGGAAGTCACAGTAGGCCTGGGGTTGGGAAGGGAGAAGCGGGAAGCGGTGTGCAGGTGCGCTTGTTCATCGCCTTCGAGGCACTTTTTGGTGCAGTGGGGTCGCGGTGGCAGCCAAAAAGCTTCGACCCTCGGCAGGTGCTATGTGGCAGCTCCATGGATGCCAAGGCGCTCAGTGGAGTCAGCGAGTTGATTGCGCGGCACCGAGCTGCAAAGCTTCTTCTTCAACCTAGACCGCACAGTCGTGGTCGTATCATGCAGTATCACGTCCTAGCGATGCACTCAGGACAAAGTCATCAGCAGCCCGCCTTCCTGGCCAAGTGTTGTCACATTCTGCACAAACTCGGGTATCGTGTCGCCGCACCCTCATCACACTCCGTGCTTTCTTTCTCCTCTGACTCTGAAGTAAACCATCTTGCTCTCTTTCTGTCTCTCCTTCTCTCTCTCTCTCTCTCTGTTGCTCTTTCTCTCTCGCCCCCTCTTTCCCTCTGAGACTCTCGCATTCGCTCTTCATTTCCTGCTATCTCTATGTCAACCGTGCGATGCCCGCGTGGCTTGCACAGCTCAGGGTTGTTGAGTGGTGATTTGGCAGGAAGTTGCCAGCTCGTGATGTTCTCTGGGCCTGTTCCTCAAGTACAACGAAGCAGACCTCGCAATGGACGGCTTTTATAATATAATATAATATTATATTATGTTATCCTCTATTATATTATACTATATTAAATTAGACTATACCATACTAATGGTCTATGGTATTATTTCCGTGTCTCAGGCTCTGGATGCCTACCTCCAGGCAGGGAGGGTCTCTCCGCACCCAGCCTCTCAGCCTGGGAGCAGCTTGAGGCGAACCCTGGAGTTTCAAAGGGCTTCGCCATGATGCTCAAGGTCGCCTACGATGAGGACAGCTGGATCTGCAAAGCTCGCGGGAATTTTGTTTTTTGGCATCTGTAATGATCTCAGGACTGGGCGGAGGAGAAGGAGATCCTCTCGTGACCCTTCTTGTTTCTTACTGTTTCTTTCCGCGACAGAAAAGCGGTGGAAGACTCAAGCGAGCAGGCTCGTAGGAGCCTGCAGATACCAAACAGGTCTTCCCTTTTCAATGTCTTCATCCACCTCATGGCACTGCTTCGGTTGCGATGCGTTCTCTGACCTTGCCTTCACCATCATGATGTATCCCAACACATTGCGCAGCACTTCCGTCCTCGAATCTGTGGATCTAGACCTGCCTTGAGTTTGGGATGCAATTTCAGCCTGGATGATGAAAGGTACTACCAGGAGGACGAGGGAGTCGGGGAGCCAGGCTTTGATGAGGCCAAGAAGCTGGCAGCACCATTCCTGACGTCGGGCCACCTAGCGCAAAGATGCGTTCGGCCCAACTTCGAAGTCGGAGGTATTCTAAGCCCGAAACCAGCCCAAACCCAGAAAACCCCAGGTGGTTGGAGAAGGTCGATTCTGAGGAGGATGACGACGATGATGATGATGACGAGGAGTGTGACCACAAAGTGGTTCGGGTTCGGGTTTGGGGCGTAGGACGTGGCATTCGGAATCCTGCACTCAGAATTCCTCTGCCTGAGTGACTCTCCAGCTTCACCTGAGTAAAGAACAAGCAGCTGCAGGACGACGACTAGAAGCAGCTCGCAAGCGCTTGATCCCAGAAGTGCTGCACTTACAGGGTGTTCTTCTTTGGTGGTGAAGTCAAGTCCGGGTTGTGCTTTTCCAAGGAGGTACTGGGCGCAATCCCCTTCAGCCGCCCCTTTTTCGCAGCTACAGACGCCTTGGAACAGTGGGACGTCAATGCTGAAACCAAAATGGACCGCCAGCCCTGCTTGCCTGGGTTTACAGTCAGAAAAGGAGCTTGAGACCTTTAGGCAAATCTCACAAGTGGTGTAGAGTCTCTCTCGGATTCTGCAGATTCCCAAGGCAAAGCTATTGAGATCCTGTCAGCACGCGGTTTGTGACCTTGCCCACGCAGACCTCCACCATTCTGTACCTCCTCCTTGCCGCGCTGGTGGCCTTGGCCATCTTGTTTGCCGCGACGGCGGCATTTTTTGTGCTTTGGTCTGTTTTTCTTTTGTCATCGCGGTTCCATCTGCGGACCTCACCAGCATGGTGTAAGGTTCTCCAGAGATTCGGCTGGCACGGGAAGTTGAAGCGTGCCTCGGAAGCATCCCGCATTGTCTTGTCACAGGGAGTTTCGGGATCCCTTCGCAACCATGACTCGGATGATGCCCGAGGCCTCTTCTTCCGCCTGGAGGCTTATTCGGGTCTAGACGAAAGCAGCAGTACATGGCATGTGACTGTAGCTGTCGAACTTCGCACATCCTTGTTAACAGGGTTTGTAGCATTGGCAATGACCGGTGCCAGGAAGTGCTGCTGCCCAAGAGACCGCATCAAGTTCGGTTCCGGTCTCGACCGAGGGTTGGCTGCTAAGACTTGGCTCGGCTGTGCCATTTCGCCCAAGTGCTGAGGCAGCCAGTGCTGAAGGCTGCCTGGTGAGCGTCGCCTCCGGTGAGTGGTGCGGGCCTGTGGCATTGCCGTGGTTCTGCTACCAGTCTGCTGCCATATTGTAGCCCACACTGTCGCACCGCAGGATCCAGTGCTGCATGCACGCGCGGTGTGTGTGACCCGTGGAGGCTGCCAGTAAAAAGCAGAATGTCCTGTCGTTACGGACTCGCAGAGCTTGCGTAAAGCATAAGACATAAGAATCATAAGAAGATTGCCATGTGAATCGTCTGTGAAAAATGCTGCTCGATGGATGCAGAATAGGGGGGCACGCACTGCATTTTGGATGGTGCTTGGATGGTCTTGGCGAGAGGAATCCCGAAGTATTCTCCTGGATCCGCATCTCCCAGCACCCGGCCCCGCTGACGATCCTACCTCAAAGCCCTGAAGCTTCTTGGTTGAGCTGTGCTGCTGCGACGACTGTTGTTGTGCCGAGCCTCAGATCCCCAACCCTGCTCAGCCGCAGCTCTAAACCCTAAACCCTAAACCCTAAACCCTAAATCCTAAACCCTGAACCCTAAACCCGAGTGAGCTTCAGGCCCCGGAGCCTTTGCAAGTCTCATGGACACCGTGCTCTGCCACGCCATGGCTCCGAAACAACCGGGAGCACTGCACCATGAATGATAATACAGTAGTTTACAATACTGTAGGAAAACAAAGAAGGTGGCAATACAGTTAAGGGAGTCAGTGATATCATGTTAATGCATCGATGCAGTTCGTTTAACATGAAGTAAAGAAGCAAGCCTGCATGTCCAGCAAGCGACGAGTCGCAATTCCCATCCTCCAGCCTATACAAGCACTCCGTGTTTGCTGGTGACACGAATGGCTGTCTAGGTTCTTGCATGTCCGATGCCCATGGGGAAGACTTCCGTCGGCTATGCTCCGGTGGAGACTGCTGGCAAGATGGTTATAGGCATATGCGCGATTTTTCGGCTACATGCTTGCTTCATATTTCCAGCCTCATGCATCACTCGCAAAGTCTGCTGTTGCAGGCCTTTCCCACATCGAACCGCTTCACTCACCTCACGGTTTGAAGAGGGTGGGCGTCAGTTGCCTTGATAAAGCGAGGTGCCTTCGATGACGACGACGATGACTTGGAGGACCCTGGCATCACGTGGAGATGTGCACCTCAGGTCTTAATCGACTGGAAGCTGTTCTTGTCAGGATGGGAAGGTGGTCACAGCACCCCCTCCGAAGCTCGACCAGGCCTGGGATTCGAGAGACAGAATCGGTGAGGGGAACTGGTGCATGCGTACCGTGCCTTTCTGGATCCAGCTGCTTCAGGCGGACTTGCCTTTGAGGCAAGTGGCCTTTGCCGTCATTCTATACGCAGCTTGTTCATCCACGCTGCTGCTGATCAACAAGGCCGCCTTGCATGGGATCTACTCCAAGACGGATATACAGCTTATGAAGCGAGCAGGTGGCGATGAGCTTCGTGCCTGATGCCTCGTTCATTCTCTTCTGCCAGTTTCTGTCATCATCAGTGACGGCAGCATGCTTGCACTGATTCGGAGTTGCCAGCGATGCGGATATTCCAAACTAGCAGCCTTGAGGTGAGGCTGATCAGATGTGCTGCTCCTGATGCGGACATTGAGCTGATCCGTTGCTCGGCACGACTACGCCGACTACGCATGTGATCCAAAAATTGTCTTAACTTGGCTCAGATATGCTGGATGGACACATAGCAGACATACACTGCATAACAGCTCGTAAGCATGTCGGATGTCGAGCTCGAAATCGCCCTGAAGCTGAGAATCAGGCTGGGAGAAAGCACGTCCTTTCTTTCTCGCCTGCCTCGTCTTCTTCCTGTGCCTCCTGGCGACTTGCTTGCAAGAAGCTACGTGTCGATTGTTGCCAGAATTATCATTGCTCTTTGTGTCTGATGCTTGGTTATCACTGTCACCGATGTCATCCTCACTAGCCCCACCAGCACAATCGTTGCCATCACGAACCTGGTCACCACGTAGCTGTCATCACTGCATCACGATCACCATCATCACCAGTACTACCATCGGTGCCAGTGCCGCCAACTGCACGAGCAACAGCGCCGGCCCCAGCACCAGCGCAAGTCGCAGCAGGAGAAGCTGCTGCTGCCTATCTGCAGCAGCTTCCATACGGGATTCTGGAGTTTATTGTTGCTGATATCACTGTGATATCACGGATGCTTCTCGACTCGAGGCCAACACGCAAGCGCTGAAGTCCGTGAATGTGGAGACTGTCATCGTGGCGAGTCGGAGCCTCATGTCCGTGCGATGCGTTTTCCTTCTCAAAAAAGGCCTCGGCCATGGTCAGTCATGGGGCGAATGGTAAGCACAGCGTGAGTTCACAGTTTCGGAAAGGATGATGCAGCCTCTGAGTCTGCTTTGTGTGCGGGTGTGTGTGGGCGTGTGGGGCGGGGGGACTGAAGCCCTAAACCCTAAACCCTAAACCCTAAACCCCAACACTTCTCACCGGCCTCAGCTGTTGACTCGGGCTGCAGGATCCTGCTCGCCGATTGCAGCTGCTTGCTCGAATGGATGCGGGGTTTCTCAAGAGTCTGGGGGCAGTATTTTCGGGGTCCTGACGGATCCTTGTTATCTGAAACTACCAAGTGACCAAGTGGATCGAAGCATTGCGTGGCACTTGGTCGGTGTAGCTGTGTTGTGTCAAGGTGGTTCTGCAACTGAGGACATGGAGCATGTTAGAGCATCTTGATGTTGAGCTTGCTTCCGTCTGACTTGTAGCAAAGGTCTCCCTGCTGGAGCATTTCACCTTGGGTAGGGCCCTGCCGAATGCGGCAGGGGTGCTGTCTTTGGCGGCGACTTGATCCAATCGTGCGCAATCCTTTGTACTAGTAGTCGTTTCTTGAAGCCATGCAGCAGAGCAAGAAGACAGCTGCAAGTTGCAACAGGTTTATAAAACTCTAGGCCTTAAGCATAACCACCATCGTAGTGGCATGCTTTTTTTCAGGCAATCGCTGGCGGAGCGGTGATCTATGTCCTTTCAGATCAGGGCTTCCAAATCGACGGGTATTCATGGCTGCTGGTGTATTTTGTGGCTTGGCCCTATGAACCTTGAAGCTGGCAATCACATGAACCTACATCATCGCACACCGCTCCTGATTGTTCAGCTGAATTTGTGAGCTTGATGTGTATGTAGGGTGTATCGCTGCAGTTCCACATGCGTTCTTGGTTCGTTGCCTGTCCAAGGTGTTTATCGTTGTGGAAATGGTTTTCGTGAAATTCGTCGTAGACACGGTCCCGATGTCGACGTGGACACGAGTCTACTACAACAACACTTTGCGCCTCTGCGGAGAGGAGGAACGGAGCAGTGTGGTCACAGAGAGGACGACAGTGTATGTCCGCAGTGGCAAGACACCGATGCTGAATACCTCTTTCCGGAAGCTGCCCCCCCCCCTCCCCCCAATCACCCATCCCCAAGCTGTGTTTGTTGGATTGTTACCACATCAGAATCAGGTCGCTTCCCATGGTGATGGTTTCCTCGCTGGTGACGGGCTTTGGCGCCTTCCTGAAGGTTGGCCGACACTTCATTACCATCATTGCTAGTATGACTCGGAAATTACAGGCACCCGTACTAAGAAACGTACACACGCAAGGAAAGAGCACGCAAGTCGGAGGATCAGTAGTAGTCGCAGTAGCCGCAGTGGAAGTGGCAGTGCTGGTGACAGTGGTTGGGCTGATAGTAGCAGCACGACTGGTCGGCGAGGTGGTGGTGCCGGTGGTAACAGCAGCAGCCGCAGCAGCAGCAGCAGCAGCAGCCGCAGCAGCAGCAGCAGCAGTTGCGGCAGCAGCAGACAAACCCAACGACAGCCGAAATGCGTGCAAGTAGAGATAGTTGTGGTGTGCCTTTGCCAGGTGGAATGGGGAGTGGCCCACGTCGTGATGGTGGCTCTTTCCTGTGTGGTAGGCTGGGCGACGGTAGAACCGCAGCCGGCAGCGTTTGTCTTCTTAGCTTCAGCTTCCGACGACGTGATGATGATGATGATGATGATGCTGATGATGCTGATGATGATGATGATGGTGATGCAGATGATGGTGATGATGATGCTGTTGACACTTGCTTGTAATGATGATGAGGAGGAGAAAGATGACACTGATGATGATATAACTGCGATGATGATGACGATGATGTTGACATGGTGATGAGACTGATGTTCCTCATAGTGGCCGTGACCATTTGCGAGAATCAGGATGATCGTGCACATGTGTTTGCATTTGAAAACGTGGCTACTGCCATGGCTGCGTCTACCTCAACGATAACGAGTATGGTGGCACTGGTCTTGCTTCTAATGTTGCCATTAACCATTCCTTGTATTCGTACCGCGTCTTCTTTCCATTCTCACAGCTACTATAGATTCAAATTGCTCCTCCGTCGAATGCTGTGGCTTTTGCAGCTGACGGTAAAGATCAGTTTTATCTGGTAGCATCGACAAGGAGATCATGTGAGTAATGCCAACATTCTCACAGCCGTTATCATGATTCGCGAACTGGTTTTTGTTGCCCTCTTGCTTCCTCTCTGTGCCGGAAGGCGTCGCGATTTCCTACGCGGGGATGCGTCCTCAGTCAGAGGGCATCGCAGCACAGTGAAGGGGGGTGGTAGGGTTTTAGGGTGGAGGGTTCGTGAAGTGCAGCAGAAGTGGCGCAATGGGAACTCTCCCAACTTCCTCGCCTGAAGACTTGAATCCTAAACCCCGAGTTGGCTCTGGCGCTGATCGAAAACGTGCCTAAAAAGAGTCAGCGTCCTTGTCCTGAGTCCTGCAGCATGCGCCTTCGAAGTCAAGGTTCAACCTGCGGAAGGCCGTCTCTGCAACTTCGTTCACCGTTATCGGCCAGCGGCTCGGGTAAGCTTTCGAAAGCCAGACCTGCAAAGATGGTTGTTGTGGCCATTATCGCGGGCCCTTTCGATGAGATAGGAAGGATAGGTTTACTTGAAGACTTGCCGTTCCATCTTCGAGCTGTGCAAAGAAGCCACGCATTCGAGCGATTCTTCGGCATCCTCCACGCGTTTGATTCTTGCTGCCGTGGTTGCTGTTTCTTGCAACTCTCACCTGCCCATGCCTGATTTGCAAAGTCCGACTCTGACAACAAGGTGTCCTATGCAAGCTCCTCACCGTCCTTCTGAATGACACAGTCTTCGGCCCCAGCGAAGCGGATTGTACAGTCGGAGATATGCACGCTGAACTATTAGACCAGGAGAGAGAGAGAGAGAGAGAGAGAAGCACCCCTTCCCTAGTAGAGAGAGAGAGAGAGAGAGAGAGAGAGAGCCCGGCAGTCTTAACCGACCCCTCTGCCGGGAGAGCGAGAGAGAGGGAGAGAGAGAGAGATCATCTTCCGTAGCCATTTGGCTCGAGTCATCTGCCGTGCCCTGCTTGTGGGGGCGCGACGGCCCTTTCGGTCTGGGGAGACTGGAAAAGCGGAGTTGGACGCCTGCTCGGGCGGAGGTGGCTTGAGGCCATCCGTCGCAAGGTTTCGGCAAACGAAAGGCTCAAGATCCCTGACCTTGGCCCTCTGCTCCGGCAGGGGTGCCCAACAGTGCTACGACGTGGAGGAACCCGAGGCATATGGGTGCTGAGCTGGCTGAGCCACAACAGCGGCCACCAGAGCAAAGAGTGGCGCGCCCAGGAGATGGGGTGGCACCATAGCATGTGGCTGCAAGGAAAGCCGGGGCAGGTGTGGGTAGCTTCTTGACGTCTTTCCATCTGAATCATTAGATAAGCAAGGACGCACGCAATTGGAACCTCGCAAGTTTCAAGCCAAACAAGCCGCTATTGCTGGTTCTGCCTTGTTTTTCGGAGCTTGGGTCAGAGACAGAAATATCATCAACGCGATGAAGCTGAGCATAAAAGCCAGGCCAACAGAGCCGAACTCCCCCCAACCCGGCCGTGGCCAGGGTAGATGCTTTAGACGAACTTCGGCGGCCGGCAGAGAAAGAAAGCGTAGCCATTTTGGCTCAAGTCGACCTGCGGCTTTCCTTGTGGGGGGCGCTTAAGGACGGCCCTCTGGGTTTGCTGGTTGTTCCCAGCATTCCCATTGGGCGGCCGTTCCTTTAGCGGGGGAAGGCTTGAGCCTTATATCCGTTGCCGCGTTGCTTCAGTTGCCCCTTGTAGGTTTTTTGGACGTGCACAATACCCGTGAAGGGCACGAACGGACTACTACTTCCTAGGGGGGGACCTTTACACTGCAAGATCCTCTTTGCGGACGTCCTGGCAGTGGAGGGGACGCTCTTCTCCGCCGACGGCTTTCTTGACGCCCTTGACACGCCGATCTTTCAGTACGTCTCCACTGGGTGGGGGACGCCTTCTACTCAGAGTTCGTGACTTGGACAGGCAGGGCGACATAGTGAAGACAAAACTACGGACGGAAGATGGAGAAGATATGTAAACTCTGCAGGTACAGCGGGGGGATCTGTACGATTGGGTACAGAAAGGCACACGAACGTGCCATGGCGCAGCGTGCGAATGGTCCAAGAGCACATGGCAAAATGCCGTGAGAAAAAGGAGACCTCAAGAAGCAGCTAATGTGGGACACAGGGGGGGGGGGCCTTTTGCTCCCTCAATGCAGTTTTGTGCCGACTTTGGACACCCTTCGACGTCGATATCTGTGGAAAAAGCCCGACTCCGCTTTCTGAGAGGGGGATTCAGTGTAAAGGTGTGAATTTTTTGCAGGCTTGATAGCCACACTTCGTTCAACCCAAGCAACGGGCCAAATTGCCCACAATCCCTGTATCTTTTCAACTCACCTTGGCACCGGGTCTTTTCGTTCCTCTTTGACTTGAATTCGGGGGGTGGGGAGGCCCAAATTCAGCCTCGATCCAGCCATGTACGTATCCATGTAACTTCCTCTCATTATGAAGGGGACGGCATGTTTTTCTTCTACCACCCCCAGGCCAGCGAGAGTCCGCATGGGGGATGTTTTGCTTGCACTTGTCTTGTAACCTTGAGGGTCTTTGTTGCTTCAGCTTCAGTGGGGGATCTCGCTGTGCCGTCCTTTGTGTAGCCGAGCCGCAAAGGGGGGATCCCCTTTTGCATCCTTTTGCGGAAGTTCAAAACCCTGCTGTGGACTGCAGGTGCGTGCCCACGCGCGGGGGGGTGAGCGTCCGCTTGCTCCCTCTTGCCTGGTAGAGAGAGAGAGAGAGAGAGAGAGAGAGAGTTGGCATATCGACTGATGGTGTCGTATAAAAGCCCTAGAAACTTGACCCAAACCGTATTACATGGCGCAGAAGATGCTGCATCCTAAAGTTTTACACACCCGAAGGTGCTGGAAATCACATAACTGCCATGTACAGACACAAACCTGTGATGCGCAATGATGCTCCGCTCTTTCTCTTGCTGTCTTGTTACTTTTGTTGGGCAGGCCTAGGGCACGAGTAGCCAGGATAACGTCACGCTGTCGCTTCTCGATGCTGTATCCATCAGAGCAGAACTCTTTGCCTGCCTCCACCCCGAAGGTCTGGAGCAATCATTCCAACTTCATGGGCCACCTTGGGCTGCTGCTTTGCATCGCCGCAGGCCCCACAGTGCAAGGGCAAGGGGCTCTATAGAGATTAAGTATAAGGTTACCAAAGGGTTCTTATACGAGTTACTATGAGGTTTCGTATTTACCTGGCATTGAACTCTTGCACGCCGCAATGCCCACCGCAAGTGTCCCGAATTGTGCGATGTCTCTTGGATGATCTCATAATTCTCGGAGCAGTTGCAGCCTTGCGCAGGCTTTGCGTACGAACGGACAAAGGCCAGGGGGAAGTGTTGCACTCGAGTTTTGAGGGAAGTTTGTTGACCCGAGAGTTCGAGATGTTCGAGAAGTTCAGTTTCCCAGCGAGCAATGACACCCTGACCCCCTTTGACGCCAGGCGCCGAGATAGGCAAGGAGGTGGAGACGGGCGGACACAGTGTTACCAACCTAGAAGGCTTTGAAAAGTAAGAGCTGGACTACACGAACGAGTTGCTTGCCAAGGTGTGTAGTGCGCCACCTTCTCCTGTCTTCTGTCCGATACTTTGGGCAGACGGGTGCAAAGGTGAAAACGAACGAGACACTGAGGAAAGGCTCAGTGACCTCACAATTCGGATACTTGCTGCAGTCCAGACACTGAACCAAGCCACCACGCGCGAAGACTTGCCTGCTGGGGTCTGCAAGGATGAGGAGTGACCGTTGCATATGGCCTCTTGTGGTCATGTACTTTCGATGTACTCGCTGCTCAGCCGTTTCAAGCATTGAAACGGATCTTTGCCGTCGCCTATTAAAACATCTGTGCCCAACAGCCGCCTGCTTGCGTTCTATCCGATCATCCTTTCGGAGTATCTGAAGGAGACACTTCAGTGTATCAGTTGGCTGCGCCTCTGTTCAAAAAAGCACAAGCCGAACGGGGCTAAGCGCAGCTTGAGCATGAAGTTACCGGGTGTAGAACCCAACGCACAATTCGGATAACTTCCGACGAACATACTACTTCAAATGTCTCTCTGTGTGTGTGTGTGTGTTTTCGGTTGCCACTGCCGGTGTACACACTTCGTTATTCTACAAGATGTTCTGCTACCAGGTTGCTTTGGTGCTCTCGTAGTTTGTTGCATTTGTGCTTTAGCCTAGCTGTTAGCTCTAGTAGTACTCCTCTGCCGCTTGATGCTTGGTGGTATTGGTGTCACTATCAGTCTTATTCCTTTGTTGTAGCAGAAGCAGAAGCAGCAGCAGCAGCAGCAGCAGCAGCGGCAGCGGCAGCGGCAGGGGCAGGGGCAGCGGCAGCAGCAGTAGTAGCCGTAGCCGTAGCAGTAGCAGTCGCGGTAGCAGTAGGCGTAGGAGTAGAAGTAGGGGTAGGCGTGGGGGTAGGACTATGGTACAGTATGCTGCACTAAGGCACATCATTGTGTTGTATTGCAATGCTGTTTGTTCTTCAAACTGAGGCCTTGCATGTGCAGAGTGGTGGGCTCGACATGTCTCCTCGTACTGGCTGCGACTGCGACTGCCCTTGATGCAAAGCATGAGCCGGAGCAGCTTGGCTTTGTCAAAGGTCTGCCAGCAGTTGGCAGGGCTAAGATCAGAGCCGTTGGCTTTGATTCCAGGCTCCATGTAACACTGTTCCAAACTCAGGCACCAGCAGAAGGATGTAACGCGGCATCAAAGCTTCCGGTCTGCATGTAATACCTAGCAAGTTCGGTCACACAGCATGGCATCCTTCACGGTCGGTTCTCTTGCAAATGAGCTTACAATTGAGGGATGATCTTCTATCTGGTGCATGGCAAACATCGCAACTAGCACAAGCAACTCTGCCGAGCTGCCCCCCCTTTAGGGTGCATATGGCAAGCAGCTCGAGCAGCTGTGCAGTCCTGCGCTCCAGGTTTCGTTGTGGATGGCTCTGCTGAAATACGCCCCGCTCATCCAGCACCCTCCCCGCTGCTTTACAGCAACTCCGGGCAGCTGTCGAGAGTTCAAGTGTTCATACCCCGGGCAAGTTGAGGCAGCTATCGCACTTGCTGCCTGTGGAGGATCGTGTGGGCGCACTGCTTCTACGAATAGTATGAAAGAAGGGAGGACTTGAAGCTTCTTCCGCAGGAGCTGGCATCCTCCGATGCGGAGTAGGGAACCTAGCGTGCTTGCAGGGACTTCACGGCGCAACAGGGCATAAGTGTGCAAGGGCGTATACGTTCATATACGTTCCGCCGTTCCGGAGTCTCCGGCATAAGGTTCTCTTGCGTTTAGTAGCTTCACTGGGACAGGCTTCGGGAAACGCAAGGTGAGACTACCGATGAGAATCATGAAGGGCAGCGTTGCACGGAAAACAGAGAGCCTTGTTTGAGGCACGGCCACAAACCGCCTCAGCGATTCCCAGGTCAGCAATGTCCTGCAAACACGCCGCGGGCAGAAATCAACATAAGAACCCTGCACAGAATACATATCAGTTGCTACTCCAACTTCAAAGGTTCACGGAGTGCGCCAGTACCAAGTTGCGCAGCTGTTGTTGTCGAGCATCGCGTGCATTCGTTGCGGTTCAAATCTGGACCTTCGGCCTGACACCTCCAAACCTGGCTGGCAGCAAGGGGCGGTTCTTGACCCTTTAGCCCCATAGAGCTTTTGCCTCGAGGCTTGCACGGGTACAACTACTGCGGTCTGAACCGTCAGCGCCTGCTAGCCTATCCCAAGGCGGGCGGAGGAGCACGGGTTGCGGTGATGACGTATGCAAGCTGTGCGGACTATGGCTCAATGAATCTCAATGATGAGAGCGAAGTTGTACAGTTATACAAATGCTTGCCCAACCATCGACATGACGTTGTGTTGTGACAGACGGGGATAGACAGACAGACAGGAAGGCAGGCATTCACTTCCTTCTGGAATCACGATGGGGGTACTTGCGATCACGGTAGTCATCATTGCTTGTTACAGCTCTAATGCTACTTTCGCAGTTGTTTCTCCAAACAAAGAGCGAACCTGAGACCCGACCCCCCGGTTTTCTAGGCCTAGTCTGGTCATTATGACCGTGGCTGCTGTCTTGCGAGGTATGCTCGTACCATACGTCTTTGTTACCTCCATCTGGCACCCTCTTGTATACGCTTGGCACTGGCAACCTCTGCCCTGGAGCGAGTGTTGGCAGATAACCATCATTCACTAGATTCACTAGATCCTAGATTGCGAGTTTGCCTCCGTCGGCAGAGAGGTGCCGGTGGGAAGGCCGCTGCTGGCCTCAAGCCCACTCCGAGGCCGAAAGGGGGATCTGAGGGGATGTGCAAGCCTTCGGCTGTCGAACTGTATCCACCAGCCCCAGCTGCGGTGTCTGAGCACTCATACCACCAAGAGACTCAGAGGTGCACTTGTACCTTTGAAATGCTGGAGGCATGGAGTGTGAAAAGAATCATCAACACGAGCAGAAACCTCAACCCCCAGCAAGCAACAACAAGAGCCAAACGAAACCTGTCGCCCATCTTGGGCAAGAGTTGCCTCTCCCATTCTGGAAGGCTGGCCACCTGCGCCGGGGCCAAGCTGGAGCGGGCCTCAGGATTTCATGAGTCGTGGGTTGGTGCCTACCACAGACACCAAGAGATTCTATCAACAGGAGTACAGAATTCGAGTTTGGGCACTTCACAGACACCCAACGCCACTTCTGATCTCACCACCTGCACGGTGCCCCAACCCCGCCCTTTGATGCTCAGAGAGGCTTGCACGGCGGCGGCCGATGTGGATCCATGCAAAGGGACGGACTGCCTGGGGTTGCTTGGACGTGAAGTTGAAGCTCCGCTAAGAATCCTTGAGGAGCTTCGATCGCTCAGGGGCCGGACAGTGTTTGATGTTTCCTGCTCCAGAACCGAGGCATCATGCATGTATGGGCTCTGGCTACAGGACTGGGGGCTCGGGAAATGCGATGGTTGCAGCCAGAAGATTCCAAAGGGCAAAGGGTTTCAGATCTGGGTCGGCATGCGAGTAGCCATCGAGGCCTGCCTTCCGGACTAAAGCGTAATGTCGTGTGTCGAAGGCATTTTTTGTGAGGGTCGGATTTGTCGAAAGGGCAGTCACGGATCTGCGAATGTATGCGATGACCACAATGCTTTAAAGGATATCTAGCCTTTGCAGAGACTGAGCAGCATACGATACCAGCCAATGAAACAACTATGTGCATGCGTACATACATGCATACGTACAAACGTACATAGAGACATGCATGCGAAATACGTAGACATAGATCTAGATATATTGATACACACAGACACATGGACGGTGTGATGTGTAAAAGATGATGTGGATCATGCAGACTTATACCGCATATCTCAAAGGATGTCCCATGATGTCCATATGTTGTATATGCGTACTGAAAATCAACCGTAACTTTTGGGGTGTTCTAGGACATGACAGACTGCAGTACCTTGTTCTAAGCTGGCGTAAACCTGAAGACGTCTATGTGAAATGCAGCTCATATCACACTATTGATCATTGGCAGCACTACGTAAGAGTATCCCTCTCTCTCTCTCTCTTTTTGTCTCTCTCTCTCTCTCTCTCCCCCTCTCTCTTTCAATGCCTTTCTCACTACTTGCGTGCTACCCCTTGTGTATGTTTTTTTTTTTCCGAAGCCTGCCTGGAAGGAACTGTGCCATCAGAAAGTCCGGACCCTCAGGCGCGGGCGCGGATGCCTTCAGAGATGATCGGGAAGCTCTTGGGTCTTTTGATTGTGGGATTAGACTAGACTAAACTGTACTGTACTATACTATACTATCCTATACTATGCTGTATAATGCTATACTATACTGTACTATATTATACTATACTTGTGGCTTGGTGCTTCCTTTGCTTGAAGCCACCGGACCGGTTGGGCTTGCCAGGCCCTGTTTGTGCCACCGAAGACGAGGGCTGCGTTCCAGCATGTCGGGATCTTAGAACCATTCATGCACGAGTCGACTTTGCCGCAGGTGATCTCATGCCATATCACAATGCCCAGCGAGTGTTGCGGGATTCTCTGGGGATCTGTCGAGGTGAAGGGGCTCGTGCAGGCAGCGCGGCTGACTGCAGGAACCTGCCGCGGGGGACCCAGTGTCGCGGAACCTACGTCGTCATCGACAACGTGGCCACCCAGTGTTTTGCAACGTCGGGGGCTCAGAAGCCAGACTGGCACAGCGGTTTGGAATGTAATCGGCACAAGCACAGGTCATAGTCTTGGTAGCTGCAAGGAGACTAACAGCGACAAACATGTCAGTCGTGCCAGCAGGAGCAGCGCTGGTTCTGCCAGTCTTTGGGAATCATGAATATGGCCCGCAACAATGGAATTTTCTCGACACACTGCCAAAGGCTCGGGGAGGACGACGTGGAGGTCGAGTGTGAAAACGGTTCGCCTTGTGGCGACGCAGAGCGCGAGACCCTTTGCTGACATTGCGGTTTGGGGATGCTTCGGGTTTGGAGCTCGACCACTGCCTCACCTGCCAAGACTAAAACATTGCATGGCCAAGCTGTGAGGGCAGACTCTTTTGACAAACGGCGGCTATCAAGGCAAACCCAACATATACAATCATAAACACAGTAATCTAGCAAGACGTTGCGCACCTTGTGGATCCACCCAAGCGCCGGGATTCACACCGAGCTCCGCAGCTGTTCGGAGTGGTTCGAAGCCTACCACGTCCTAACTTCCCTCCCCACCTCTCTGAAACCTTGAGCCTCGAATGGGCTCGAAGCCAGGAGAAGAAGCCCCGAAACTCGCTCTAACCGCGCCTTCGGCCCAGGAACCCGTATCAGGGAGCGAGGCAGGCTTTGCCATGCTCTCTTTTCAACTTCACGCCCCGCTGCTTCCCGAGAGTCGTCGTCGTAGCAGTAGCAGTAGCTGTAGTAGGAGGAGGAGGAAGAGGAGTAGCAGGAGGAGGAGGAGGAGCAGCAGCAGCCCACAGCAGCAGGAGCAGCAGGAGTAGCAGTGGCAGTGGCAGTGGCACTAGCAGCAGTAGCAGTAGTAGCACGCCAGTGATGTCATGTGGAGTCTTGTGGGGCCCGTGATTTGTCGCAGCGATTCGAGCCGTTTTTTCGGGTCCCAACATCTGGAATCTATCTCTCGCGCTCTTTCTCTCTCTTTCTCTCTCCCTCTCTCTTCGGAACTGATCAACATTTGCGCCTGCCAGGTAGCTCACAGTGATTTGGCTTAGCTGCCTGGGCCTTTGATTACATCGGTATGTTGACGTTGATTCGGAATATCGTATTTGGTTTCTGTCTTCATCGCTCCCGAACGGCGACGTCCCAGAGGCCGAATAAGCTAGGGCCGGTGAGGGCCAATGAAGGCCGTGTCCGCCTGCGTCGGCCGAATGCTTGTGCTCCTTATGGTGTCCACGACACGTGAACAGAAGCTTCGCCGTACGACGCTTGTCCGAAGAATTGTGACACCATGGTCAAAAATTAAATCTGGAGTGTGCACCTCTGACAGCGTCTGTTGCTCCTCATGTTAAATTGGGTTGCCAGCAACGATGTTCCGCACTAGAGCAGCCTGTTCCGCTGTGTTTTTGCACTCGCTCCATCCTCTCGTGTTGGCTCAAGGAGTATGCAAGAAGCTGTAATTCTTCAGACAGAGTATGCATGCTTTCCGTGTCGCGAAGTGGTGTTGGAGTGAGCGAGGCGAGCACATGATAAAGATGGGATGCAAGTGCCTTCTAGCTTCTGTTATGACAACAACAAGCTGAACGTCCAAGTTTGCTTTCTTTCGTGGAGCCCGAACGCAGGGCGATGGAGACATGCCGCTTAGAGCAACAGACTTCGGCAGGATCAGCAGATCATTTTCCTGCACACCCTAAATCCTCATTCTTAGTCCCCAAGCTCTGCGCTCGGTGGTAGGCCGATGATGCTACAAGCAGGCTCGAAGGCCTCTGTTGAAGCCCACCCGAAAGAAACGGCTCCCACACCCCTAAGATGCAATAGCAGACGTAAGCGAACCGTTCAACAAAAACACCCTAAATCACCATGAATCACCCTTCGCACCAAACCAAACCTTACTCTAAAGCCCCTGAACCCTAAACTCTTTCCCAGGCTGCTCCGCATTTCTCACGAGGCTGCCCAGAGGCCGCTCCTGGATCCGAGGCAAAGCGCTAGTTGTTGCTGGATTCTCGTATCCTGCCCGCTATGGCAAGTGTAGGTCCTAGGTTAAGGGGCCTGTTTCAGCAAGCCAGATGCAGGGCCGGTTAAGCGCTGTCTGCCCCGGACTACAAAGATGGTGGTAACTTCGGTAGCGGCCCTGCTCTAATCGCCCCAAATCCCCGAACCCTGAAATCCCTTCGCCGGCCGTATACCCCTCAACCAAAAAGGCGCCTGAACCCTAAACCCCTAAACCTTAAACCTTGAACCC